CTCCGCCCCCCCTCGCCTCCTTTGTGCCTTGCTCCCTCCCCAGCCCCCCATGACACTAACTGGCGAGATTTCTCAATTAGCAATTCAGGAAAGGCGCCAGGAGGATTCTCTGCAATTTGCTCCTGTTTTGTGCTCTTCTGGTGGAAATTAAAGGCTTGTAAACAGTGGAGTGTAGAGAGGCCCCCAGCTGAGAGCAGGCTTGATGGGGGGGCTCTTGGCAGGGGACCAGGCTGGCGGGTGGCAGCAGAATTTTCAAGAGGCAAATGGGGGGTGCAAGGAGGGCCGTTTTGCTCAGCCACGGCTTCCGGCAAGACCATCCAGGGGCTTTACCTCCTGTCCAACGTAGCTTGATGAAAATAGAGTGGTTTTGCTACCTCCCTTGCCCTGTGAAATCAGTTTGATAGTAAGCACCGAATTCCGTTTTATGGGAAAGTAAAAAAAAAAAAAAAGATGATGATGATAAAAGCAAAATTCTGGCTGCTTCAGTTGCTGCGATACGGTTGCCTACAGGAGAGCAGCGCCTGGGGAAACAGCTGGAATCAAAGTTGATTTTTGGGGGGTTGGGGCAGAGCTGACGTCTTTCCTGGGAGCATCGTTGGGAGCCAAGGGCCGCCCCCCCCCTTGGTTAACATGGCTGAATTTATCTGACGTGCGCTCCCCCAAATTACGAGGTTGTGCCATTCTGGTTCAGGAAGGCACCTTGTTTACGTCGCTGCACGCTCACGCTCGTGAGTTTAGAACTAACTTTGGGAACGGCTGCAGCTGCATGCGTTAAAGCACTTCACTGTTTTGAAATGGATTGGATTGGATTTTTATTAAATTTGTGATTTGCTTCAGGGTCCCCCGCAGCAGCCCGTCGACACGCGGATAAAATATTTGGCTGATGGGATCGGGTTGGGAGTGGGAAGCCACTTCTCCTGACGTGCAGGTGGCTGTGGGGGTGGAGGGAGGACACCCTCTAACTGCCTCTTTGCATCCGTCTGTCTGTCTGTCTCTGTGCCACGGATAGGTTTGACAGTGAACTTTCCCAAGCCCACGAGGAGGCCCAGCGTGAGAAACTGGGGCGGGAAAAGTTGGGGCGAGAGAAGGACATGCTCATCGTGGAGGCGTTCAGCCTCAAGCAGCAGCTTGAGGTGGGTGGTCCTGTTCCGTCTCCCCCTGCTTTCAGGGTCCTCTTGCCTGTGGTTGGTGGCTTCTGGTGCCCTCAGCCCCCCCCAAACTCTGTGCATTCTCAGGAGCTGCCGCAGGTGGAGCCTCTGGCTGGGCAGGCAGCTTGGCCACCTTTCCCTTTGCACATACCCTCCCTCCCACCTCCCCCCCAGGAGAGGGACGCCCAGATTGTGAGCTCCACGCAGAAGGTGCAGGCCCTGGAAGCGGAGCTGCAGGACCTGTCTTGCCAGGAGTCCAAAGACGAAGCCTCTCTGGCCAAAGTCCGGAAGCAGCTTCGGGACCTGGAGGCCAAGGCCAAGGACCAGGAGGAGGAGCTCGACGAGCAGGCGGGCACCATCCAGATGCTGGAGCAGGTAAGCCCAGGGCGGGCCCCAGTCCCTCCCTGCTGCAGCTCTGGCTGTGCCGGTTTTCTGGGTGTGCCGGTTTCACGGGGGCAGACACCATCCTCGTACGCGGGAGCTGCTGCCCTTCTCCTGCCCCAGAGACGACGCCACTGGTTTGGCAGTTTGGGACCCAGGGAGGGGATGAGGCAGCCGCCATCTGACAGCGCCAGCCATGCAGGCCCTAGAAGCGGTGGCAGCAAGGCGCGTAAGTAATTGCCTTCCCAAGCCCACTGATCCGGTGGCTGTCTTCCCAGCCCCGAGCCCCCGAGCAGCCCCACTGGGGTTTGTTTGCCCGCCAGACTGGCTTCTCGCTGGCAGCTTGTTCTAAATATTGCCCATCCCAGCATGAAGGGGCGGGGTGGGGTAGGAGCTGGCAGGAGCTGGCAGGGCAGACCTGATGGATGCCAAAGCAGCAGCTTGCCTGCTCTCCGATAAAGGGGGTGGTGGGTGGCAAGGGGAGGGGAGGGGAGGGGGGGGGAGGG